CAGGGCCATTTCGGTGATTTCTGTTATCATTTTGATTTAAATAAGAGCCAAACATCTATGTGATAATAAATGGTTTCATATGATCTGATCACTATCCTACAAACAGTTGTTTGGCATAATCAATCATATTTTCAATATCAATTCCAAAATGTTACGATTTCTGCCAGGGTATGCAAACTTTGGAGCACAATTGTATGAATATTTTATAGCATATAACAGCATCATGTATTGTTCTGTGTGAGGATGGGGGTGAGTTTGACTTTTATTTTTGTCAGATTTGAATTCTGATAACTTTTCTGGCACTTTTAGAACAAGATTTTAATTGTTAATAAATATTTTATACATAGTTACATTATTCCAGCTTGAACAAATGCAACTCTGCATATACCATACTGTGCCTATGCCCCTGGAATCTGAAAATCACCGAATTAGACATTGCAAATCTAGTGACCTGCAGTTGTTTCTGGGTTCCGTGCTGAGTGGTTGACCTACTGCATTCTGAACCAAGGAGGTTGACCACTTGGCATGGGCACCATTCAGATAATAATTTGCATTTTCTCAAGGAATATAAAGTGTTATCTGAATGAGGTGAAGGGTGTGGCGTTACTGCCCTGCCTACCCACCTCATCCAGTCAGAGAACAGTTTGCATTCATTCAGCAGTTGACCTCTCGTATTTAGAGTACAGCTGGCCAGCCATTTGGAATGGGACCTTGGAACCATGTGGAGATGTCAAATATAAATATCTCAATCCCAGTCTGGTTGAGATTGAGACATTTGTATTGAAGATGTTGAATAGATTTTTTGTGCACAATATTTTTTTTAGGTGCTTTGGGTAGAGCAGCAGCTACTTATGAAACATAATGGAGGGGATTTAGTAAAACTGATGCATTCAGAATCTGCTGCAGCTGTGCATGGTAGCCTTGACTTCTAACTTCAACTTGTTCAATTAAGCTTTGGCAATAAAACTACTGGTTTCTATGCAGACTTGCACCAGATTTTGCACTCTAAAATTGTAGTAAATTACCCTGAGTGATGGCAGTCTCCTCTATTGGCAATTTAGGGATTGTACTGACATAGTTATGGAGAGTGTGAAAGCCTCCAATGCAGCATGTATGTAGTGTTTTTTCCTTATTCCTTAAAATTAAACCTCACAGGTTAAATTAAAAAAATAATAATAATTATTTATTATTATATTATTATCATACAGTATTTATATAGCGCCAAAGGGTATGCTCAGTGCTGTTAACATGTTAATAATCTATCAGCTGTATGTTGCCTTCCATTGTGTATGTGTCTCTTTATTAATTATTTGTATAGCAAAATATTTGAGCCATGGCCAATGGGTTATCATGTATCATACCATATGTTTTAATGGGGGGGGAATAAAAACTCGGATAATGGACACAACTCCTTTAAGTATTTTCTAAGATATATTGTTATTTTTTTAAATATAATTTCTGATTATAAATTTATATTTGATTCATAATAGTTTTATTAGACAGGTTATTGTGTAAGTATAATGGTATTTGCAACACCATATGATCGTTGACACAGTCTCTAAATAGGTGAGCTCTCTACAGCATCTAATTTCTTTAAATGAGCTGCTAGCATCTCTCTGCAGTGCCATTACTAAAATAGTTTTATAGATGGACAAACTTTAGTTCAAAGACAAGTAGTGGATGCAATACATTGTGAACAGTCCAAATTATAACCCTATAGTCTGAAATATTTTGCAGCTTGAATCAAGAAAAAATATGTGGAACTTAAGACAGTACATATATGATATATTCAGCAGAGCAAGTAATGAGAGGTTTCTATAAAAGATAGTGAAAAAAACATTTTGTACCATCTGTAAATTGCTCTTTTTACCATGCCAATTAGGGGAAACTGATTCCAGGTCTTGACAGGAACAAATAGCTCCAATCCACTATTCTGGATGAATTTGCTGCTGATGTTTTAGAACTGTGCAGATTTCATTACTGGGCAATAGTTCCTTATCTCTAAATCATACTTCTTATGACAGTGAATAAAACAAATGTACTTTACAGAAAGTGTTACAATTTCAAATTACTACCTTGTAATTTTGTTAGCCGTTGAACCTTGAAAAAGAAATCTATAAATCTAGCGATATTTCATTTCATTCTGAGTCATTTACACAATTAACCGTTCAATTAATTTAGGTGTTTAATTTTAATTTAACTGCTTACACTTGGGTATAGCACATCAAATATATATTTTTAGTTAAAATATGCAGTTCCCAATTTTTTAATTAAAGTTCCATTTAAATTGTGGTACATCTGTATTTCATATTTGTGACTTGCTAACATATACACCCTGTGAATAATAAATGCTACTTTGTTGAAGAACCACCTACCTACTGTAGAAATTATACCAGAACAGATTAAGATCTTCAGAGAAACTTGTTTATAAATACATATTGTATATAAAGGACTATGTATTTGATGTAGTTACCATGTTAGTAGTATATTCTATGTTCATGTGAATGTGCTTTCTGGAAAAAAAAAACTCCTTATCTGAAAGTTCATTTTGGCTTATGTATACTTTTCTACTTGGCTTTAAGCCACAAGATCTAATTTATTTTAGAAAGATGGCTTGTTTTAACTCTTTTTCCAATTTTATCTCATGAATTGTTATATTTTGCAAAAATTGTCTTTTACCACTTGAAATTCCTGTTTTCACCTACACTTATTCTCACAAAGTATTATTTTATCACTAACTGAAATGGATTTTTTCCTACTCTTCTCAGTAGACACTTTATCATAATGATCATTAAAGTACAGTGCAATAGGGGGCATATGCACGTCAATCCAAGATGGTGCACATGTGATGCCGGAGCCCTGCAGTGACTCTGCCTACTCAGCCTCCCGCTCCGCTTCCATCTGCTTCAATCAGTCCGGGAGACCAAGTCAGCATCTCCCCATAACTCGCCACGCCCTATGTGTAAAATAGGGTGCCAAAAACCCTCTTAATCACCCTCACAAGAACTGAGGTCTACCCACATAGAGTGCTACCTCTCCTGCCCTACATACCTGACCTCAATTTTGATGGATAGCCAGCTAGCCAACAGTGCTGAGAGCCACTATCCTGCTTATAGCAGTGATTCCTCTTCACTGCCAACCCAGGTGCCTTATCTTACTGCAGAGGTGATGGTTGACAAACTACAGGTACTGTTGGGGAACATTACTCGCTCCATATCTATAGAAGCACACTGTCACCCAAATACAATTACAACAAGAAGATCTTGAAAACAGGGAGCACCGCCAAAATCTGCGCATCCTACAATCAGTGGGAGACATGCATCTTAGATCATATCTTTTTGGCCTACTTGTAATTTTTGCGCCAACTATTCTGGACATTGACTGGAGACTAGATTGTGCACACCAATCCCTAGGCCCTAGACCACCCTCTGGTGCACATCCTTATAATTATTATTATGCAGTATTTATATAGTGCCAACAGTTTGCTCAGCGCTGTACAATATAATGGGAGGCAGTACACGAGACAGCACAGTAACAATACAAAACAATACACGAGGGGTTCGAGGGCCCTGCTCCTTGGAGCTTACAATCTAGGAGGGAGGGAATAGTGATACAGGAGGAAATAGCTGCTGGGGATGAAGTGGTAGGAAGAGTGGAGGAGATCGGCAATTAGGTGAGGGCAGGGTAGGCTTCCCTGAAGAGATGGGTTTTCAGGGTGCGCCTAAAGGTGAGGAGGGTAGGTGACAGTCTGATAGATTGGGGTAGTGAGTTCCAGAGGATGGGGGAAGCCCTGGAGATGGCCATGGGAGGAGGAGACCAGGGAACTAGAGAGTAGGAGGTCTTGTGAGGAGCGGAGAGTGCATTTTGGGTGGTAGATGGGTATCAGGTCGGTGATGTAGTTTGGGGCAGTGTTATGAACAGCTTTGTACATCAATGTTAGTAATTAGAATTTTATGCCTGTGTTGAGGTAGGCTGGTGAGGTGGGAGTTACAGTAGTCAAGTTGTGATATAATAAGGGAGTGAATGAGTTGCTTTGTAGTTTCTGGAGTTAGGAACGGACGTATTTTGGAGATGTTGCGGAGGTGGAGTCTGCATGAATTTGTCAGTGATTGGACCTGGGGCTGGAAAGACAGATTGGAGTCTAGAATGACACCTAGTACTCTGGCTTGCAGGGTGGGGCTGATGGTGGCGTTGTTGGTCGTGATGCAGAAGTCGGGGGTGGCGTGGGCTGAGGGGAAAACAAGGAGCTCGGTTTTGGCAAGGTTTAATTTGAGGAAGTGGAGTGACATCCAGTCTGATATGTCGTTCAGATGGCTAGTGATTTGGGCGGAGACTGAAGGGGTGAGGCGAGGGGTAGAGAGATAGATTTGAGTGTCATCAGCATAGAGGCCTCAGTGATATACTCCCACGGCTTCAACTACCATCTCTATGCCGATGACACGCAAAAGAGGTCTCTATATTTTTTTGGTGAGGTCAGACACTGATGTTGGATGAGAAGGTCTGGCTCTCAGTCTCCACTCTAATTCATCCCAAAGGTGTAATATCGGGTTGAGGTCAGTCAAGTTCCTACACCCCAAACTTGCTCATCCATATCTTTATGGACCTTGCTTTGTGCACTGATGCGCAGTCATGTTGGAACAGGAAGGGGCCATCCCCAAATTGTCCCCACAAAGTTGGGAGCATAAAATTGTCCAAAATGTCTTGGTATGCTGATGCCTTAAAAGTTCCTTTCGCTGGAACTAAGGGGCCAAGCCCAATACCTGAAAAACAACACCACGCCATAATTCCCCCTCCACCAAACTTTACACTTAGCACAATGCAGTCCGGCAAGTACCATTTTCCTGGCAACCATCAAACCCAGACACATCCATCAGATTGCAAGATAGAGAAGCACGATTCGTCACTCCAGAGAACACAACTCCACTGCTCTAGAGTCCAGTGGCAGAATGCTTTACATCACTGCATCCGATGCTTTGAATTGCACTTGGCGATATAAGGTTTGGATGAAGCTGCTTGGTCATAGAAACCCATTCCATGAAGCTCTCTATGCACTGTTGTTGTGCTAATATAAAGGCTATACAACGTTTGGAAGCTATTGACTTTGCAGACAGTTGGCGACTTCTGCGCACATGCATGTGCTGACCCCTCTCTGTCATTTTATGTGTCCTACCACTTCATGGCTGAGTTGCTGTTGTTTCCAGTTGCTTCCACTTTGTTATAATACCACTAACAGTTGACCATGGAATATTTAGTAGCAAGGAAAATGTAACAGATGGACTTATTGCACAGGTAGCAACCTATCATGGTACCAAGCTCCTGAGAGCAACCTATTCTTTAACAAATTTTTGTAGAAGCAGTCTACATGCCAAGGTCTATTCTAGGTATATATATATATATATATATATATATATATATATACACTTTTTTTAATGTATTGTGAATGGACAAGACCCTGTCACTGTGAGAAGATACGAAAATGTGACACAGGATTTGCATTTAGGGTAAATGCGACATTCTAGACTAATGTTTCTGGGCAGAGAAAGCTGCATATTTGGTTTTCTCTGGATTCTGCTGCTCTGGATTGGAACATTCAATCCTGTGTCTGGGTTTTCCTAAAATACTGCAATCTGGAGTGCACAGGTGTGAGGTGTCTTTTTTTTTCTCAGGCCTGAGAATAGCTCAGGGCTCCCAGTTGGAGCCTCATCAAAGGGTCAGAGGACCCACCCAGAAGCCAAGAGACAGGTCCCAGTTCCGGGAGTCAGGTCGGATCCTATTAGGGTGTCAGGAGAACCCCCATCCATAGGCCAGAGGTGGTTCTTACAGCAGGGAACTGTGTCTGAAGGCTAGAGAGCCTAGTATTCAGGATAGGTACTGCTATTGAAGCTGAGCGAGCTTATGAGCTTAGGGTATGAATTTCTGTTCAAGTTGGAGAAGATCCCCTGTGTGGGAAATCATTCATTTCTGAACTTTGAAATGAAAGTGGGCTACAAAGCCCTTAAAAATAGTTCCTGTTTGCCATTTTTTTTATTATTTCCACCTTTTTGGTATTCTAAATTGTTTTCCTTGGTTTCTCTTCTTTGCAGAGTGCATGTATTTTTGTTAAAAGCAAATTCAAACTGAATTTGATATAGAACAGTGGTGGGCAACCTTTTTTTTCAACTGAGCCAAATCTCGCCAAAACCACGATTGAAATTTATTTTGAGAGCCACATTTTTAAAACTGAAAATACATCTCCCATATAGTAATTCATCCCCCATAGTAATTCATCCCCCATATAGTAATTCATCCCCCATATAGTAATTCATCCTCCATAGAGTAATTCATCCCCCATATAGTAATTCATCCCCCATATAGTAATTCATCCCCCATAGTAATTCATCCCCCATAGTAATTCATCCCCCATATAGCAATTCATCCCCCATATAGCAATTCATCCCCCATAGCAATTCATCCCCCATATAGTAATTCATCCCCCATATAGTAATTCATCCCCCATAGTAATTCATCCCCCCATAGTAATTCATCCCCCATAGTAATTCATCCCCCATATAGTAATTCATCCCCCCATAGTAATTCATCCCCCCCATAGTAATTCATCCCCCATAGTAATTCATCCCCCATATAGTAATTCATCCCCCATAGTAATTCATCCCCCATATAGTAATTCATCCCCCATATAGTAATTCATCCCCCATATAGTAATTCATCCCCCATAGTAATTCATCCCCCATATAGTAATTCATCCCCCATATAGTAATTCATCCCCCATAGTAATTCATCCCCCATATAGTAATTCATCTCCCATATAGTAATTCATCTCCCATATAGTAATTCATCCCCATATAGTAAGTCCCCCATATAGTAAGTCCCCCATATAGTAAGTCCCCCCCCATATAGTAAGTCCCCCCCCATATAGTAATTCATCCCCCATATAGTAAGTCCCCCCCCATATAGTAAGTCCCCCCCATATAGTAAGTCCCCCATATAGTAATTCATCCCCCATATAGTAAGTCCCCACTGTGTCAATTCACTGACCTTTGCTCCGCGCGTTCCTCTCGTCGTGCTTCCCGCGCCGTTCTGGTCTTCAGGGCGGACTGTGAGAGGAGAGGAGTTCGTCACGCTGCCCCGCCTACATCCTGGCTGCCCCGCCTACATCCTGACAGCTGCAGAGACCTGACTTTTGGGGCGGCCGCCCGAGAGGAGGGAGGGGAGCGGGCGGCCGTCCGAGAGGAGGGAGGGGGAGGGGAGGGGAGGTGAGGGGAGGTGAGGGGGCGGCCGCCCGGCACACGCCCGTCCGAGAGGAGGGAGAGGAGGGAGAGGAGGGAGGGGAGGGAGGGGAGCGGGCGCCCGGCACACAGAAGAGCCGCATTTAAGCTTGTAAAGAGCCGCATGTGGCTCGAGAGCCGCGGCTTGCCGACCACTGATATAGAAGATGGGCGGCAGAAGAATTTCTACTGTGGTTTATAGCCCATCTCAACAATCCAGAATGGAATTTAGAGCTCATTACAAACTAATTGCTAGATGTATTACCTAGTAACTCAGGGACACGTATTATATTCATGATTGACGCTGTTGTTGCTAACTTTATCACCTATCACGAATGGTATTTTTGCCAATGAGTGGATCATTCTGTGTCACTGGCTAGTGATCTATTCCACAGATAATGCTCCTTGGGGCTTACATCAGAACTTTTAGGGTATATCTAACATTGCTCTACATCAGGGGACTGTATGCACATGAATTTCTAAGCCTTCTATCCTCATGTTATAAGGAAATGCACTGGTCACTAGCAAAATACCTGAAGGAAATAAGCATATATTTGTTGGATTAGATACATTAAAGACTTGTTTAATATGAGAAAAAAATGTTTTCTGACTTTTCTGGCTGGTTCTTTCCATACCCCCTTTGAGGGTTGGAATATTTTTTTAGGGCAGTTCACCAAGACTAGGAGGTGAGAGTGGGGGGATGTGCACAGTCAGAATGGTCTGTTATGGTGGTTTGCTAATTGTTGTCCTGGTTTTGGTTGCCAATGCCCCCTTTTGGCTCATCTTCTGCCTTTGTGTAACCTCTCCTCTTTACTAGAGCTAGAGATGGATTGTTTCCTAATACTGTACATATATTTAGATGTGCAAGCAGTGGCTAGGGGCTGATAAACTCACTGGCTATGGTTCATTACGGTTGTTAGAGGCCTTTTTTGGTTTCTCTGACTGGCTCTGCCCATATACCCCCTGAAGGTTAGTGTGCTTTTCTTTTTGGTAAGCTAAGACTGGGGTGGGGTGCTATGCACAGCCAGAGTAGGTGATCATGATGGTTTACCAATGTTTGGCCTGTTCTAAACTGCTGATGCCCCCTTCTTGCTCATCTCCCACGCTTGTTCAATCTTTCCTCCTTCCTAGAGCTAGAGGTGGAACATTTCTTTATGTAGCTGTCTGAATGAGCAGAGAGTGGCCAGGGGACTCACTAGCTATGATCATTTATGGCTATAGAGAACTTTATCATTTTTTTATTTCTCCTATACAGTATATATTTGTGTAAGTTCATAAAGCCTTACGGGGTCCATGATTTACTGAATTCCTCAGAATCTCTTACTGTGGTGTTGTGGTTGCTTTAAATGTTCCTTTTTTTCTTTGCACGGGACCAGCTGGGAGACTGGCTCTCGGCCCAACCCTATCCCCCCAATAGGAGTATCCCCAACCCTAAGTGGTCTGTGGTTGTTTGAATTGTGGGATAATTTCTGCAGCCTCTCCTTTCCCACTCATTTTTCATCCTCTCCCTTCTATATTTCTCTACTCTCTTTGTTTACCTGTTTTTCCCCTCTAGGACTTTGGGGAATGCTGTAAATGATACCCTTTTTTTTTTTTTTTTTTACTTTTTCTTTGTTTTGTGTTTGTTTTTTTTTCTTTTTATCTTTCCTGTTTATTATGATTTTCAAGGGACCTTGAACCTACGTGGACTAGCCATGGTACAGAGTGCATATTGACTATCAGTCGCCATGACAACCCTATGCTTTTGCTCCCTGAATTTCAGGGGCTTGAACATGCCTCAGAAGAGAGCACAGGTACTTTATGATATGTATAAGAAAAAAGGTACGCATTAAAAAATCCAGGGGAGTAGCGATTGGCCTTCACTCCTCTCTACCAGTTTCTGATATACAAACAGTGATTGACGATGAAGGTATATTTATCCTATTTAAATATAAAATCTATAACCAAAAATTTATGTTAGATAATTATTATTATACAGCATTTACATATAGTGCCAACAGTTTGTGCATTGTTTTACAAAATTAAGGTAGACATTACAGTTACAATACAATTTGGTACAGGAGGAAACAGAGGGCCCTGCTCGTTAGAGCTTGCAATCTAAGTATAATAATGTATAATAATGTGCCTAATCATGGTCAAGCTGTTATGCTGATGTCTTTCTTAAAAAAACTAAAACATTTTCAGTAAGGAATGACTGTTTTGGGGGGTAGACCTTATTCTGACTTTGGACCACTTCTTAGATACCACAGCAGTTACCCCTTATGTATCATTAACATGGCTAATCCATCTTAAAAGACAATTTGATTCTCTCCTTCTTGTTGATCTCTGGCACATAATGCACCCTACTGTTAAAGATTATGCATGCTATACTGCCACCCATGCCACCTATATTGGACTGGATTATTTCCTTGTCTCACACAGTGCCCTGGGCTGGATTACCCAAACATCAATTGACAGTCATTTATGGTCAGATCATTCAGCAATTTATCTTTCCCTTACCCTCCCTGCTAATCATAAACCTTATTCAACTTGTAAACTAAATGAAACCCTCTTGAAGGACAGCCCTACTAGGTCTGTCTTTCTGGAAGCAATTTCTTCTTTTTTGGGAAATCATGAATCTGATAATAGCTCTTGCCCCATACAGTGTGAAGCCATGAAATGTGTGATAAGAGGAGTTCTGATACTGTATCTCATGGTGCCTGATTGAAAAGAAAGAAGACCTACGCAGTGTTCTCTCTACTTAAAGAGATTCAAACTTTAGAAGCTCCTACAGCTCTCAGATGCACTTTCTTTTCATATATTGCAGAAAAAGAGAATGGAGCTACATTCCTTTCTGCTCCAAGCCTTCCTGAATCAGACTGTGCTCAAAGGGCTATATACAGTACAAATTTGGGAACAAATGTAGCGTAACATTGGCTTGGTCAAACAAACCAGATTATACTTTAGAAAAATATGGTGCTTGATGAAGGGAATGGTTCATGCCTCAAAACAGATAGCATCTTTGTTTTCATAATTATTATATGGCTCCATTCATCAGCCAGGCTCATTACCTTCAAACTCTTCAAACTAGTCTCAGCTTTTAGACTTTGATCTTACACA